GGACAATGGCATTCCTGGAGTAAGATTCCCAAATTTATTTGCAGGAGTTATGCACTAATTGACACGCCATGTAATTCCAACTTAACCATTAGAATAAGGAATTTCAGCTTATGAATGTTGGAATCCTAAGTGTACATCAGAATGTGAATTCATTACAATTCATGCATGCTACCTTAGTGGTTGATCAAAAGATCATATGCATTCTTTTAGGATTAAAGTAAATAATCTTAGTATGCAAGTGTGCAAAAGACAAGTTGAATTATCTAGTTGAACAAGTCAAAAATTAGGGATAGACATAGGGTTTGCGTAATCTTTAAGATTCTTGAACTTAATGCTTGCATGCTTGGGGAATAACCGGGGAACTAGGGTTCTTCCAATATTGTAAAGGTTTTAGAGTAACAAGGGATTGAGCTCTAATAACATGCGAAAGAATTGATTAGATTGATACTAAGGACAATCAACATTAAGAAGGAATTCAAACGTAATAAAGAGATTAAATGAAATCGAACCCCTAGATACTATCTCGAACACTGAATAAGCGGATAGGAGAAACACATAAAGTGTCATCCTTGAACACTTTTGTATAATTGCTTCTTCTTTTTTATGGTAGAACAGTTCATTTATGATCGTGTAGGTGTGGATGAATGAAATTTGAAATGGTCCTGGAATGAGATTTTGGAGCTATATGCAGGAATTTATGGTAAGCTTACGTTGTTGTTTGACTCTTTCACTAGTTATCCATTTAGTACTTCATCCATTAGAGGAAATTGCTAGAAAGTCATTGTGTGAGTTATGGTATTGGTCCTATTGGACAGTAGCGCATTGAATGATTTTGCAATTAATAGTTTCATAGGTGATAGGATAACCTTTATTTAAGAGAAGGGAAGGGTGGTAGGGTCTGTTCCTTCCCTTTCGCCAGATTTAGTGTGCCGTTTGGACTTTAGAATGCACTTGTTAAGCTCATTTGGCATTATTCTGCTGCATCTGTATGGTGCAAGAAAAGGAAAGTCCTTCTTGTTTTAGATTTCTGGGTTTCACGGGGTCTGCTTTTCAGTATTGTAGGAGTCTGAGACCTGTTAAATGTGAACCTGGTAGTTGATTGGGGATAATATTTATTATTTTGGCCTTTAGTATGTATTGTGCTTAGTAACTCATGTTCAACATCTTTTTATCAATGTCTATAGTGTGAGATAATTAGGTATGGATAGGCATGAAGGATGGGAGGGGTAGCAGTAGCACAATGGGCTATATTTTTAATTGGTTGGTGTTAGGCTCCTAAGGTATTTCTTTTAATAACTTAGTTCAGTTGCATTCTTATTTGATCCAGTCATCAAGTTAACACTAATCTCATTTTTCTTTTGTTTTGGATGTTGTAACTGGGGAAGGGTGGTTGAAACATTTGAAGATCTGGATTCCCTTGCACTTGTCTCCTTGTTAATTTCCTTTTATGGATCTTTGTGCATATTTATTAAGCACTTCCGAAGTAGTAGAAGCAAGGTAACATCTATATTGACTGCACCAATTGCAGTTTTCTTGTGATGCTGTTCACGTGGCTTCTCTTTGCTTTTGAATTGGTGTTATTCCTTCATTTTCACTTGATAGTGTATTAATGTAACTCTTTTATTTTAGAGTAATGTGATTGAATCCTACAATTTAAGGAGCCAATCTAGTAATTAATGGAGTAAGTTTATCTATGTCTGTTCATTGATGAACATGAGATGTTAATAATACTTGGCCAAGGTTAGCCTTTTATCTGTGTAGCATTTGTCCTAGGTTTGTTGTAACCTCAGGTTATCAAAGTGGAAGGGAAACAGAGAAGGATACCTGAAATTCCTGAAATTGAGAATTCAAGAATGCATTTTAGCAATTTTAGTGGGGGAACCAGGTTCAAATGTCTCTTTCCTTTGGCTAACAAATGTAGGCTCCTTAAACACACCCAAATAAGTAAAAACAGAAACATAAAGGAAGAAATCATGACTTGATAAATAAAAGTGCAAGAAAATAAGTTTCTGGTAAGAGTTATATTTTAATGTTATTTCTTTAAGACAAATGACAGCATAACCTACTCCATAAATGTATGCATGTGAATGCATATCTATGGTTCATATTAAATTTGTTTAAGACAGTGATTTATTGTATTACATACACAGTTACACACCTTACGGAGCACTGTGTATTAGTATTAAGAACATAGGAAATCGATGTAGGAGAGTTAGTATTTGATAAGAAATTAGATGAAGATAAACCATTTCAGCATGGTATCATACTATCATTGCGGATGTACATTTGTAGAGTGTAATAATGCCTGGGAAAGAAGTATCACAATGATGAGGAAATGGTTAACTACTGAAGAAGAGTTGTTTAATTGTATATTTGACTTGTATGTCTATGTTTTCTGCTTGAATGTAAGCATGCTGGGTTCTCCTTGATTCTCCTAAGGTTGAATATGTGTTTATATTAGCTAGGAGTTGTGGTTCAATTAACCACTCATGATTCTCTTGTTTATGTCATTAGTAACTGGAGTAACTGCTCGTGATGTGAAGTATGAACTGTCTTAGGGTAATGATGTCTGTTTTACTCAACTTTTTATTGTTACCTAACTTTCTTAGATGTTGTTGGTCTAATAATTCATTCTAATAAAAAGCTTCTATTACCGCATAGAACTGTAGTCGAAGTGTTTCACTGCATACATGGAGATTTTATGTTACCACTACTAGGAGAATGGTGTATCATGGTAGAGTTGATTTCAAGCTTTTTTATGTTTTGATATGAATTAATGTAGATTTTTATTAAATTATCACTCTTTTGGTCCTTAAAATTTGGATTTACATACATTCAATCCGTTGAAATTTATTTACATGAATTGATCATAGCAGTTTTAGAAGTTGGTTCGATTAAGTTTTATTTAATTGTGTCCAATTGATAGAAATCATCATTGGGAATTGAATTAATCTGAACTCAAATTGTATGTATTTTAACTGCGTGATTTTAACTTTATATATGTCGCTTTATGTAAAAAATATTTATTCTCATGGTGCTTGGTAAATGATAATTTGTGTGAGAATGACAAATATAAAATTGTCTCATTATATAGAGGTTACGTAGTCGTGGTAAGCGCAATCTATATTACATTATATGTTGTTTATTAGTCGTGATATTGAAATTATAAATAAACTCAAATGAGCTAAGACGAATATATATATGACGTAAAATTAATTATATCATAAAAGAATTAAAATTAGTAATTAATGTTTTTGATACATTTTTTTGGGTCATAAAAATTTATGCTCAAGTTTATGAATCTGCGTATCATTTCGAACCATTAATTTCGTATTTACAAATTATAGGAGATATCCTCCTAAGTCCTAATGCAAACAGTTTTGCAATACTAAGAGAATGCCGGTAGCACTACTTTTCACCTTTCAGAATGAAAGGTTTACATTTAACACATTTATAAGAACAATTAAAGCATCCTTATGTAGTTATATTATTTAGGGTCGTCATCATTGTTGGGTTAAAACCCATTGGATTTTGTTTGAACACAAAAAATGAAAGTAGCGTAACTAGACACTTCCGAGATTAAAATCCAAATTAACTGAAGGTTAAATATATCTTATTAATATTAAGGCATGTAACTAAACAAATAATGAATTTTGTTGTCTCCTTGCCCTTGTGGTGAACTATGGATGCACGCAATATTGCCTGTACATTCAAAGTTCAAACATGTACAGGTTCATAATCTTATATACACGAGGGTTTTGATTGTCTATTAGATAATAGTTAGTTTATTTTTGCATGTATAACACGCTTGAAAGGTGATATGTTTATTTGTGTTTTCTTGAATTTTATGTTGTTAGTATTATACATGATCTCATACATTTACATGTTTAAGAATGAGGTTTGATTTTTCTCATGTAGGAAATAAAATTATTTCCTATAAATACATGATAATATGTGGGGTCTAATTTTTCTCTTCTTTTTTTTCTGTTCTACTCACATAGTCTCACATAGGTATCATATATTTTTTTTTTGTATATGAAATAATTTTATCTCTTACAATGTGAAATATTTTAAACCCTTACTAAAATTAACGTTTTTACATTGTTTTAAAAAAAAATTTTAGATAAGTGACAAAGTGCTAAAGTGATAATGAGATTTATTACCAAAAAAAAAAGTGATAATGAGATATAATTTTTACATTTAAAATTATTGTTAATCTTTTAGAGATAATTAATGAGAGAGAATCAAGGTGGTGATTGTCCTTTCTATCATCATGGAGTGATAAAACGATAAGTGCTAATATGAATTTATCTCCCAATAAAATTTCCTATGGGAGCAAACACTTTACTAAATTCCTCCTATATCCGCATGCGTGTCCATGAATAAGATAAACAAGTAAATGGCACCACTAGGGTTAGCCCAGTGGTGTGGGGTGTGTGTGTTAGGAGTGTGTGTAGTGTAGGGTGTTGTGTTCAATTCCTTGTAACCTCCACAAAAAAAAAAAAAAGATAAACAAGTAAACAATAATAACCTCCAAAAAAAAAATGATAAACAAGTAAACAACTAAGTTTCCGGCCACATGTCAATAGAAAAAAAACAATTCAATAGAACTATAGAAGCATATTAGAACAAAATTTGTCAAGGAATTAGTGAACATATTTTAGTTAGCTAACAAACTTTCCCCACTACCAGCTTGAAGCCGTTTTTATTTCTAAATTATTGAATATAAATGAGATACATAACAAAGAGTAAAGGAAAAACTATTTTGGAGTTTTATAAGATTTCATTAAACATGAATACGAAACAAGAGCGAGTTTTAGTGAATATCTATTCTAAATAAACTAGTGTTAACATTTACCCCAAGACTTAAAGCTTTTCATAAATCTTCGTATTTACTTTGAATAAAATAAAAAATCAAATGAGATTGTATGGAATATATATATATTAATTTAACATTAAACATTTCTTAATCATTTGTTAAGCCATTGATGTCTTCTATTGAATATATAATTACATAGTAAAGTTTGGTATAAACATATGATGTTTACACTAACTGCATCACTAAAGAAGAACATGTCTAAAATAGGAACAAGGCATGCTTAATAATATTAGTAAATTTGGACATGGACATCCTTAAACATCAAACACTACAATCCAAAGTCCTTAGAGAAGGTGTTCGTTCATATTACAGTGGGAACTGACCAGTAAAACGAATATGCTCCAGAGTACAACGTAAACCATATTTATTAACAGCTTCATTTGCAGCTCTAAAGCCACCACCATAAGATGGGGAAGAATCATTGGCAATTTGGTTCATGAAAAATGCACCCAATTTATTTTCAACTTGAGATTTTGCACCTTTCTTTGATGATGATGTTGATGATGAGGAGTACGAGGAAGAAGAAGAACCTGCTGCTGATGTTGATGGCATGGTTCTTGAACCAGGCATCACTTCTGAATCAAGCCACATGTAAGAAAGAACCTGACATATACCTTCCTCTACTTCAGGATTAAGGTTGCGGTAACCTGATTAGTTCAAGATAAGTGAGATGATAATCATGTAATTAATAAATACTAAGGAGTTGAATACCAATATAGGATCAAAATGTATATAACCTTTAAGCCGTAACCAAGCATGCATCAACTCATGGGCAAGGATAGCACCAGTGAGTAACCTGCATACACCATGTAGTAACATTGTTTTTCATTGGTTCTCCCAATAGTACACAAAAGGGAATCAACTGTAATTGGAGAAGGACAAAGAGTATGTATTAAATATTAATTACCTTGGAAGACCATATAGAACAAGAATAGCTGTAACTTCACATTTTCTAGTCAGCCTTTGAGGTTGAGTTCTCATCCCTATAAATCTATGGCCTCCAAATAGTGTTGGCCATCTATGTACCTGAAAAAACAGAAAATAAGAAATTAGTGGAGTTACCTCACAGATAATTTGTAACTTGGTTCAAGTAGGTTTTCACTTTTCACATTCTAATCAGATAAAAACTTTTGAAAATCATACACTGGTGACAGTCTGCTCTTCTGATAGGCATAAACCTCTTGTTTCTGGCAAGTGATGGAAACCCTGGTAGAAACCAATAAAGAGTAAGAGGAATTGGATTAATTTGTATGACAGCAAAACAAAAAATGGATGGTTCATTAGTCATTACATTCTTCTCCCCAAAAATAGCTTCATTAAGTGCTTCTCTCCCAACGAGAAGCATTGGAACTTGTTGATCTATCCTCATGTTCATTCCTTCATAATAGTCTCTGATAGCATGATAAAGAGGCTGACATTCACCAGTATCCGTTATAGCAGATTCCATGCACTCAAAGCACAATGTACGTCCATCTTCCAATCTATAGTATCTTTCATTCCGACACTTCAAGGAGAAGATAATTTATTAAAACAAAAAAAATTAGAAAAAGAGAGAAACTTTTAGCAAAATATATTATTAAACATTCCTGATTACCAATCAAATTAGTAGTACCTCTAATCTTTCACAACTACAGCAGCGAGCTGTGTTATCTTTTTCATGGGATGGACAATACTTTTGGTTCCAATAGGGGTGGCACCTATACTCAATCAAACCAGCGGCATTTATTGGAATCTGAAAGTGAAATAAAATATCACAAGTGTTAATATTGCTTTTCATCAACTGTAAATTATCACTGGAAAGCTCCTATGCCATATCATGTGATTAATTAATGTTATATAAAATAACTGCCACAATCTTCTAAGTGATAATAAAGAATAGGATATAACGATATTAATGATGACTGCAATTTAAAATTAATTCAGATGTCCTATTTCAGAAGAAGACTGATTATACTATTTGGTCCCGTCATCACAAACTTGTGCTATGGTCTCTTATAAGGTATATCGAATTCATTTAAATTTAATGACCTTTATCAGAAAACAAAACTAATAATAACAAAGCAGAACAGTGTGAATAAGGAAAGGAAGACTAATCTTACATGTTGATGGCAAACTTCACATTTAGGGTGGGTCAATTCTTTAAAACAGGATTGGTGATATGGATGCTTCCCTGACAAAGAAAACTTGAATCAACAGAAAAAAAGGCAGTAAGAGATACATACAAGAGAAATACCAAAATCAATACTTTTGTAGCACTATAACCATAGCTTTGAAGTGTAAATAACATGAATTTGTGGGGGAAATATTGAAGATAAGTATTATATACATATGAGTGCATCTGCAATTCTGCATGGTGTGCCTGTGTAAATGTGTGTCAAAACTTAAAAAGGAAAATAGATGATATCAAGAATCAACATTCTCTAAATCTCAAAGAGGATCAAACTACCTGATGCTCAGTAATGGGGTGATGACAAGAGTGGCACCTAAAGCAGTCTGGATGAAAATAACTATTCTCAAATCCCAAACAATTTCCGTATAGTATCTCCCGGTTGCACCCTCCACATATTTTGATATGCGACGGAATACTGTACATTATCAGTTATAAATAAGAAATGATGGAGCAGGACCATCAAAATGTATTAGCATCAGAACAATGAAACCAAAATTAATTACATAATGTACAGTAAAATCAATAGAGAAATCAAAACTTATTTTAAAATTCTGTTCAACTTTAATGTTACCACACACACAGACATACATAATACCAGAAAAATCTTCACTTAATGTGATTTTGACTAGAAGTGACCAACAACAACTATCAACAATCATGCTATGGATCAAATTGAAAACACTTGATGTTTGGCCTCCACATGTCATATACAAGATTCAGAAGAGCAAAAATTTTACCTAAGTGACCGGGGATGAAAAGGTAGAGGGGCATAAGGAGGATGTGCAGATGAGTGCATGCGATCCTGTAGTGCCTTTGCCAAATCTTCATCAATTCCTGTCCGCCATCTATATCCTTGATGAGCAAATGGAAATAAAAGTTTAGTCTTTGATTACCATCATCACAATAGCTAGAAAGCAAGCACTTTCTTTAAAACTTTAGTACCTACCAGTTGGAATCTTTAAATCTTCACTTAAAGAGAGTGAAATTGCACGATTCAGATCCTCTTCCTCCTTCCGGGATCTAGCACGTTCATCCTAATGACATCAAGAATTTTATTCAATATATCTTATTCCACATTCAAAGTTATGATGGTAAAAGAAAAACCAACATAATCATTGCATATCCAGTTATGAACTTTGTTTTACTGATACTTCATTTGAAAAGAATTTCATGAACTAGACACTCTAAATGGCCCTGATTTTGCACAGCAAGGTGATATTTTGAAGAGAACATGAATAATATAAGGAGAAAAGAAATTCCACATGATATTGGAAGTAAATAAAAGGAACATCATTATGTACAAACAAGTGCAAAAATTAGTCAAAAAGTGTTGTTATTACACATGAATACATGATGCAGCACAACTCATATGGTCCACTTTACTGGTACACAACTAAGATACAAATTAAGCTGACATTGCAGAACCAAATTTTTTGAAGTAAAAAAATGTGTGTAAAAAAATTCACTATGTGCTTTGAGCTGTAGCCTAAAGTTGTGAGTCTCACAAGAGGATATCTAATCAACCAAACAAGACAAAATAAGTCAACTCTCTAGTGCTCATGATTGAGTTGTGATTGATGATAAATAAAATCAACATGGATTGAGCCCTGAAGTAGCATGTTGCGGTGACTAACTATTTCCCTTTATTATTTTGAGCAAAGCAATAACCATATTTATAACAAGGACAACAACAACAATAGACATCCTTGAATAAAACAAAAGAGTGTTATCAATGAAACAAAAAACAGAAAGTTAGTGCTTCTGTTTACCAACGATCTAGTTGGAACTCGCCAAACCATGTTTTCCTCCACAGGCTCCTGTAGATTACGATCACCACACTTTCCTCTATTGGACCCAATTTTGAAAACCTTGCCAAACCATTTCATAAAACCAGACTTTCTCTCTGAGTATGAAGAAACAAAATCCCCTGCTTCCCACCAAAATTACAATAATAAAAAAAAGAGAGAGGTTAAATTAGAAGAACTAAATCATAGTATGAAATGAATCAACTCAGTTATAACACGCTTTAGATAATCTTCAGAAATCACATGCAAAGTAAAATGAGAAACAAACTTTGAGAATAACCACCCATACATACCCATTTAGTAAAATCAACAAAATAAAAAGAAAGGTACATAAAGTTGGAAAATTTTATTTTGTCTTTCACTTATTGATGACAAGTGTTAGTGATAGGTACATGAAGCTCTAAAGAAGGAAGAAGAGGAAGAAGAAGAACAGAGAGAAAATACCATATAAACAAGGGTGAGAAAGATGATTGATATCTGAAGGAGGAGCCATAACGATGTAAGCTTATGTATAGATTTCTTGTTATGTGAGACCTGGAGGAGCCAAAAGGAAGCACGAAAAAAAATGAAAATGATAGAGACAGAAAAGAAGGGGTTGGAGAGAGAGAGAAAGGAGCAGGTGAAAAACAAGTTTCATTATACATCGTTAATAGTGGTTGAAAAAGAGAGAGAGAGAGAGAGAGAGAGAGGAATCTATAAGGAAGTGGAACGGGGAGAGATATTCTTGTCTTGGAAAGCAATGAAGAGAAATTGGAGAATTGCAGAAAAAGATAGGTTCCTGCTGAAGGGGAGAATATTAACTAACGGTGGATTGCAGAGAGATGAGAATCAAAGTAAGATATAGAGAGAGAGAGAGATAAAATTCCATTTAGAGAGATAAAAAAAGGTCCAAAAAAGTGCTGTGTTTGCACGCATGGAAATGAAGCCGTAGTGCATGAATGTTCTCTCTTTTATTACTTTCTGATTTGAGAGTTCTAAGAGTTTCCTTCTTCCAAACGGTCAACTACTTGTAGGGTCTTTTTCTGAGAAAAATCTATTGTATTACGGGCGCAATTGAATCAAAGTCAATTGGACTGTGACACATCAGAGTCAAGTTCGGTGTATATTAGGTTGAAAATCCACGATCACACAAAATTAATAAAAGAGAAGAGAGAAGAGAGAAAAGAGAAGAGAGAGTGAGACATTTACACTTTGTTCATCTAATATAGGTTACGTTCAGTTTATCTTTACTATAATTACATTATCGTATGTACTATATTCATTTTATCGTCACTCATTACAAATCACTCGGTTTACAATAAGAATATAAATACGATTAGAAAAACCCTACGTCCAGCGAGACCCCAGTTGCTTTTATATTGACCCCGACAATAAGGGCCCTCATCGAGACAAATTTCTACAATACTATTGTCTTACCCACTATTCTATACCTCCCTCCAATACAAATTAAACACCTATGCTGATTGATGACATGGAAAAGAAAAGAAAATATATTAAAAACAAGTGTTTAATTTTCAATGGCAATAGTACATACTACTACTGTATCAAAGATGAGCTCCTCATCAGCATACGAAGTATGAGCCATACTCAACATCTGATACATTGTAAATGCTTCCTTTTTTTTTCTGGAGCATATTTACGGTACTCAACAAGTAGACATTTCCTTTCATGAAACAGAAAAAAAAGGGATATGGAAGAAAATAATCATAAAAATAAAGATAATATAAATAGACACAACTTTGCGTCATTTAAAATGATAAACATTTTTTTCATTTTTACATATTTGTTAAAAGATGTATTGAATGCTCGAATGAAAAAAAAAAATTGTGAGAAAAATGTCATCATACCCTATTAATCTACTTATCATGAAATCCCAAGTGGCACTTGAGAGGCCATTTCATCCTTGACAAGAGAAGAGTAATAATGAAGCCATGATTGTGTTAACCTTTAATTCTTGTCATTAAACACATTCATAATATCTGTGTACTGTGGAGTGGAACTCTTAACTCATATGCGTTGATATACCACCAATCATATCATGCATTTTATTTTTTTGCCATTCGTATTTGATACTTTCTGTTTTATAGTGGTTTATGATTGACAATGCCATTATCCTCATTATCACCTTAATAGTAGTATATAAAAATTATAATTAAAAGATTTGATTGCAATCTTGGTGATAAAAGAGATGGATTATATAAGTTTTAAAGAGAAGTTGTAATTTGATATCTCCCAAATAAGATGATAGTCAATACCATTATATAATATAGATTAAGGATTACTAATTTGAGCTTCTTCACAAGTCAATCAAAGTTTATTATCAAAATGAAACAAATGTATTATAAGGCAGGAAAAAAGTAATCGTGAAGTATAAACTATACTATACATAATTTCTATAAATTATTAGTTGCTTAAAGAACAATTTTTGAATATTATACATTACTATATATCTATATATATATATATATAGTAATAGCGATTGACAACTTCCCTTTCTTTATCTTTTTCAAATTCCATTCCTAAGCAGCGAATATAAATCGTTATCCTTTTATTCCTTATACCGAAACAATTACAAACCCTTTTCTTCTGTTTGTCTTCTATTGGACATGACAGGCAACAAACAAAAAGTTTTCTTCATCAAACACAGCTCACACACACACAGGGAATCTACGTCTACTTAGGTATATATAATATAATGGAACCCTGTACAAATTAAAAAACAAGAAAAGAGGAGAATCTTACATAACATGCATGAAAGGAATGTTTAAGATGTGGTTGTTATTGTAATAGTGTGATGTAAATGAGCTGTTTCTGGACCATCTTAAGCATTTGATTGGGAAGTGGGAAATGATAGCATAATACCAAAGGAAAATGGTGACCAAAAACTGATATTATTCCTAAGTTTGGACGGCCAAAAAAATATACATATGTATGATGGTATTCTTCAAGTTGTTGCAGTCGCAGACTTGAAAGGTTTAGAATTTCAAGTACATTACCTCCAAGGAAATAATGGTAACAGAGGAGAGAAAAATGATTCTTAATACTTAAGAAGTGGCTTTATTTGAGTTTTTCGGAAAAGAATCTTTGCATGCTATCTATATATTAGCATTAGGCTAAAAGCAAAACACTTTGCTATCTTCATATGTCATATTGTTTGCAACAGATAAAAAGGAAAAAAGAAAGAAAGAAAAGAAAAACCCTTCTCATCCAATAGAAAGATGATCATCATTGTAAATTTGTAGAAGGGGCACTGAAAACTAGGAGTTTCAAAAGCTAAGAGTAAAGAAAAGCATCTTACATCCATACCACCTTCCTTTTATGGTTGTAGGCTTCTGGATCCATTTCCCAATTGGACAGTGGTAACCTTTAGTCCTGTAACATTTCTCTTATAGCCAAAAAAAATTGGGACCAATTTTATTGTATCCAATACAAAACATGGAATTACTTTGCTGCAAAGTGAATTATTAATGGAAGTTCCTTGGCACTTATAATTAACCGAGTTCGTTTCTTAAATTCACATTATCATTGAAGTAGCTCTTTTTTGGAGTGCTTTTTCATATATAATAAGGTAACAAAAGTGACTGGTGTTGTAAAGAGTCATTTCAATCCAAAAACTTATTATGTTAGTTGAAGGTCATATTAATAATATATTCTTTTACATAAGAATCCATTGGGCTAGAGTGGTGGATAATATCATATCACCTACTCAGTGGCGGACCCAGAAAATATTATTTATGTCCGCACATTTAATGATGGAGGTTCAGGGGCAGTGCTCCCAATTTTTTTTTTTAAGAAAATTTTAAATGCATTAAAAAACAAAAAAATATAAATAAGAAAAAAAAACTTCAACTTAACATAAAAAATTATTCCCAACACCTTTTTTTTTAATCAAGCTGATTTTGTTGTATGACATCATAAAATATCCAATGAAATATATGGCATCTCATTCCATTCCATCCCACCGTATTCCATTCATTTCCATTCTATCTCTAATTATATATTCGAGCAAAGCTTATTCTGATCAACATCATGCTTTATTACTATGCTTAAAAGAAAAAACAAAAAAAAAAAAATTTGAGGGATTTATGTCCGCACTTGTGGACATAGGCTACCAAACAAGTCCACAACTGCACCTACTTATGCTAAGAAAATCTATAATATTTCATAATTTTTTTAATAAAATGGGACGGTGAGAATCAAACTGATCACTTTAATCCCAACCAATTCAACCTAAAAGGGCTTTTAGTTTGTTTGAGATGGTTCCTTATGGATTCTTTGCTAATACAGCTTGAAGTAGACACAATAGCCCATCATATAAGAAAAGCGCATGATCTGCTCTTAGAATTAATCTGAGCACATGTTTCATCAAGATAAAGTAGATGTCTGCCTTCTATATCTAAAGTGGGTATCTCTATGTCTTCAAACCATGTGTTTAGGCTTATAAATTAGGTCGATGATGTAAAGTTATGGAGCATAACTGCAGAGATAACTGCTTTGACAGCCTTAAGCTTTATCCAGTAGCTAGCTATAAAAGTGCAGATAAATATAATGAAAAATAGTTAAGAAAAAAAATTTATCATCCTTAAATCTCTTCTTTAAATTTTCCGGCGAGAAAAGCATATTTCTGACTCAGACCACATGTTAGGGGGCACCTTGAAGATACTTTTTTTTTTTTTTTTGTGTGTGTTTTTTGTACTTGTTTTTCTTTTAAAACATTAGCACAGCATCGTGAAAATATAGAAGGTAGTTGATATAATCATATAGGTAATGAAAATTAGATCAAACTATCTATACGCTCCCCACAGTCCTTTTCTTATTTATGTTATGTACTAATCCATCAATACTATAAAATTGCAAAATATTGTCATGATAATTGCTTGTGGCTTGATAGCCAGAAACCAGGTGTCTTATATAGAGATCATACAACAAATTCTGGATATATGTTGCATTTGTATCTAAGCAACAATTACTAATTTATTGCAAATTAGCAGCAAGCAAAAATTATAGTTCCTCTCTCTATAAAATTTTCCTTTTTCTAAAATGGTGGCATTTCAACATCAACTTATTCCTTGAAAGTTTCTCTTGTATGATCTCTAGCAAACTAGCTATAGCTCATGCAAAATCTTACGGTTTCCCCTGACAAATTAAAGTAGTCATTTGGCAAATTTGAATAAACCAAAATAAATTTTCTTGTAATATTCTAGTTCGTACATCATTACAAAATTATCTACTTTAGCAAAAATTGAAGTAGCCTTTTGCAGCAAACACATTTGCTAATATACATGCAGTGTGGTTTTTTAGATAAAATTTTCACGTGCATGTGACCAAAGTTAATATTGACAAAAACGATGGTCTTTCCCCAAGGAAACAATATGTAGCTTGTTATAATTAATTTTAAGTTTTACTAAAAAAATTTAATGCTCTTGTTGCAGGATGCAGCACCAAAATCAAATATATAATATACATCCTTTTTTTGATATTATCCTGTCACCTTTGTTTCTAAAATTACCGAGAGACATAAGTAGCTTATCCAGGAACAATTAGTCATTTAACAAT